GTTCTGCGCAGGTCTGCATTCCAGTTGTCGAGATCCGACCATTGGAAACCATTGGAATGTTATTAATATTTCTCGCCTTCCGAACTTTCTTGAATTGAATCTCTAGTCTATTAATTTACAAGCATAGTGAACCAGAAGAGTGTTAAAACTTCAGTATAATATATATCTAATCATATTTTACAACTGTGCATGCATGTAGCACTGAGTTCAGAATGTAAACAAAGCGTTGTTTGCATTACGGACTTTACAGAATCTTTAAAGTTTCGCTAGGAACAAAAGGGCGATCTTGAAATTTCTTTACGTTATGCATCATATATTTGTTTCACTTCAGTTGCCAAGTGACTTTTTTTTCAAAAACGCGTTTGATGTTGCTTCCCCCTAATTTTGGTATACTGGGCTATTTTCAATTGAAGTTAGGCGATGTCTTGATCCTATTATGCATGAACTGATTTTTTTTCATATTTAAGAAAAGTTTATTAGCTGTTAGTTACCTGTGAACATTTTCAATGAGGACTTGGCCCTTCACAGGAAAGGTTTGTATCATCGCAAATAATCTACTTTAGTTTTTGACTCTAATCAATTGCCGAATTGGGAATATCATGCATTGATTACAATAAAAATAGAACAGGACTAAGTTAGAGTCCTGCGTTCCCTCTAATTTCGTATAATCTATTGTTCCTTGGATTGTAATGCTTGTAAAGTTAAATGAATTTCAATGAACAGGGGTCACGCTCATGCATTGGATCAGTATCATTACCTATATGAATTTAATGAGATAATACAATGATATACTGTACAGGGTGTCCCAAAAAACCCGAAAACTATTGAAATCACCAATAACAATTTAATTGTTAGAATTTGAATGCTTAGCAATCTGTTGGTTCCCACGAGTGCATAAATGATTGACACAAGTAAATTTTATGCATAAAGAAACTATTTAAGAAGCTGCTACAAATTCCCAAGAGCAGAAAATCGCGCACTTTACAAGGAGATATGTTCTTAACTAGATTTTAATACATGCACCTTGTCAATATTTTACGCATCATTACGTTGAGCTTTTTGGTAGAGCATTCAAATTTAACAATAAGTGATTTCAATAGTTTTCGGGGGTTTTTGGGACACCCTGTACAGTAGAAAGCATTGTTGTTGTAAAGAACGCATTAGTTTAGCATGATTCTATTGTCGTATTCAAATGTTAAGATGAATGCATGGTGCATTGAAAATTATTTGAGTCATGGAAGAGCTTGGGAGTGATGAGGACTTGTTTATCACTCAAAATGTACATTCATTGAAGAGAATTTAGTAGTGACTTGATTTCTTTCGCGATTTCTTTGGCGGTGAATTATGTCATGTTACAGAGAATACATCAGTTCGTGAAGTCACGGTACCCAACAATCAAAATTGCGAAACTCGCTGTATAAGTGTTATCAGTGACGATGAGGTTGAAAAAGGAAAGAATCAAAGATATACGGCCGAGCAACACGAAATTGAGCACAAATTGGGCGGTTAGTTGACACATGGTTTGAATAGATACTAGAGGCCTGACTTGTCAATGAAAGTATGAAACTGAAGACTTCCAAAGCTTTCGAATGCGGTTCTCGTGATTTGGCTAAACCAGTGATAAAAGAAAAGGTTAGTGATGATAATGAAGCGAGTTGTGAAGTAGATTTAAAACGAGAAAGAGAAGCCAACCAACGTTATGATGGCGAACGCTAGTACAAGCAATGCCAAGAGACTTTGTACTAAAGACTCTGGAGGGGAACAGTTTAGATAGTTTGATGTATATATCTGGTTTTATATCACATTTGTGTCGGTTTTCTTTGATCGTCCGAGGTTTATAACTGGCTTATATACCTTGAATAAATGATTAGATTAAACTTGTAGACAAAACGCGAGAATTTTTCATTAAAATTTTTTGAAAATGACAAAATATGTTAGAAAACCTCCACAAATGTGATATAAGTTAGTTATAAACCTCGAAAGTCGGTTTATAACTGATATATTGCCCTCGGACCTGATATATTGCCCTGGTTTATAACTGATATATTGCCCTAGCCTGCGTGCAGGCCCTCAATTTTATGGGGGCCTGATTTGCAGCGGGCAGGATTTTGGCGGGCTCCGGGGTTTTATGTTGACAGATAAGAATGACGGTAATTTATAAGCAATAATGTAGAAAATTTTAATTTAATTAAAATTCGAAATAAATTTTTAAAAATTTAAAAAATAAATTAAATATAATTAAATATTTAATTTAATATTAAATAATAATTAATTGATATTAATTTATTTTAATATTTTATTATTTTTTATTTAATTTAATATTTTTAAATTTTTTAATTAGAAATGTTCTTTTTCTACTTCTGAGTGTGGAAAATTCCGAGACACAGTAGACTATTCTTCGAGGTTGCTGGCATGTAAGAATGACATTAGTTATCACTTGCAAATTTGTCACCTTGTAAAGCTTGTCGGAAAGAAGAATATATAAAATTAATTCTAATTTTCAGAACCTTTCTAATTGTTACTGAAAAAAGGAATAACATTGATTAAATATTAAACTGAGAGGTTCAAATGGGTTACAGCTGTTTGCGTTGAATTGTTTTGTATTATATCAAAATATTCGCATATTTTAAATTTTTTATACAATAAGAATAATATAAATTCTTGAAGCTTAGCCTTGAGCAAAATGACTCATGCAGAGTCGGCCTGAAAAGTTGACTTTTTTATACAGAACCGTGACTTATTTGAATTCTAGTTTCATTGATAATTGTTTCTAACCTAGAAACAATTCGGTTGCTAGAAAACTATCCTGAGCGAAACTAACGAAATATTGACATTTGACATCACAGCGAGTATACATTTCTTTCGGCCAGGGCCGAAGTTTTCCCCGAGATTTAATTCGTAAAAACAGTTTAAAAACGATGAAAATCCTGTCTGTAGTATGACTATAAATTCTGAGTTTTCCAATTTCATTGAACATTGTTATTTGTTAAACAGGTAAAGGTATTTGTTCTGTTAATATCAATAATTAGCTTTACCGATAAAGTATGCTCGATTTCGACACATTTTCAAATTTTACAAAGTTTGCGCGCTTGTCTTTTTTGTCAAATGGTAAATCAGAAAGATATTATTGACGATTTGTGTTGACTAATGTTAGTAGTTTATAGAAAAGTTAAAGACATGTGCCAATCAAGTGCCACGATTTTGAAATAAGCTTTCAAAGTTGATATATTTTGAGACGATATCCGTTATCCGTTCAAGAAGGGTCAATAACTGCACTTTTTTCTATTTTATACCAAAGAATAATTATCTCAGTCATATCACCAACGAATATAGAAGGATAAGTCTATATTTCTGAGTAAAAAGTTTGAAATTTAGGTATGAATTTGATTGAAAAAATAGCACTGAAAATATGTCGATATTTTGCCCTCATTCGGAGTTCAAGTTGGTCAACAGCCGATCGAACATCAATCGCCCCCAAAAATAATTTAAAGGAAATTTGAGTAAAATTAAATCGATTTTAGTTGTTCCCAAGGATAGATATTCAAAATACTAGAGTATGAGAGAAATCTATTTTTGAGCCCCATATTGACCTGGAGGTTTTTACGGAGACAGCCTTAAATGTTTGAATATCAATCGAGGTTTTTTTGAATCCAGAATTTCCCAATTTATTTTATGAGCAAATACGGAAAATAATTACGTGCGACTATTGTTTTGCTTCCCACGCTGTTTTCTCTTTTCCAAGCTTGTGATAGGTTACAGCCAAATTGATTTGTTTGAAAGATAAACTTTATCAAGAATTTTGCAACCTGAGCAGGTCCAAACGCAAATATTGATTATAAAATAGCCGCATCCACTTTGCAGTCCCCACAGACGAAAGTAGGCACTTGTCTGAGACGGTGCTTTTGCGATTGTTTGAATTTTGAAAAGGAAATCCTATTGCACGATGCAGCAGCGGAAAATGCTTATTAGCATTGCATTTTGTGTGCTAATGTGGGGTGCGTCTCAAGTGCAGGCTTTGGGTTCGATACAACCATCGCCTTCGTTCACAGCAGCCCAAACGGGTAAGTTTTTGGTTTAGCTTTGTGTTGTGTTGTAGACCTATCCTGGTAGTTTAACCGTCGGATAAGTTCAACAAATGCTGGTTTCCTAAAATGGTAAAGACAACAGGGTCCATAGCGGTTTTTGAAATCCTTGAAAAGATCTTTGAAAAACTTTCGGATTGTATATGAAAAAGTTAATTAACTATTTGCTATATACGATTTCATAGCTAATAAATCCGATAGACTGCTGTTAAATTCTCACAAACATCGACCAGAAGACGCATATTAGACCGAGGGACAAAGCATAAAAAATTACCGAACAAAAATTACCGGATAAAAAATGTTTGATTGCTCTCAAAAGTCTTTGAAAAGTCTAAGGCAAAAAAATTTATGCCTTAGTTTACGAACCCTGTATATTAAAGTAAAGAGATTCAAAATTTTGCAAGTCAAACAAGCACGTTAAAAACAGGACCTTGTGAAACTTTGAAAACTCGATAAATTGTTTGCAGTTAAGGTGTGAGCGGGAACATACGGTTAATCAAGGCCGGTTTTATATAAGCAAAACACACAAAAAACGGCCCTAGAAAAGTGGGAAAGCAATTCAGATTTATCTTGAGCCCGCCGCCCCAATATTGATTATAGGGAGTTTAAAATGCCGACAACGAACAACGGGTATGGATCGAGTACGGTTGAAAGCTGGTTTATGCATTGCTTTAACAGAGGCAGACAAAATTTACAAATCCCCAGAGTGTACTTTTCACCGTAGCGACCTTGAGTATACAGCGTAAAAATCACATTCTTGTGTTGTAAAACAGAATCAAGAACATAGCACCGAAACTGACTACCGGCAGATTGGAGAGTATTTTTATGAAGAAATGATGAAAATTAAAAGATGAAACTTACCGAACGCAAACTTATGCACATAAAACATCTGGGTTAAATCTGTCATGACAAGCATATAGTATTTGCATACATATAACAAAAACTATTTCAAACCTAGTCGGTAGTTCGTCGTCAAGATCTTTTATATAAACTCCCTAATATATAACATCCGGCCCCCTAGCTTGTGCTTCATCCTTTTCATTGTTCATCCTATGCTTGCCCCAACCTGTTTACTATGCCTGCCCCAACCTGTTTATAAATCATTTCAATACGTTCATTTCAATTAAAATTAGGACAAAGCAGAATCGAATTCCAGTGGGCGTTGGATTATCCATCCATTGTTTTCGACATGTCCCGCACTGTTTGAAAGCCTGTTTGTCAGATAGTATATTAAAATTGCAGTATGAATAACCTGTCAAAAACTTGATGAACTTTCTTTCGTTTTTTTGGCGGGTTTTTTATTAATTAACTTTACAATCATATTATATAAAAAATACACATACAGCTATGATTGACGGATTAGACAACAGAACTAGAATCCCATACTAAGTCCATCCATCTAACACTAAAACACGGCATATTATAATACGGACTATAGCTACAAACTGGACAACATAATACTGATTTTACAGGCCTTTACACTATATAAAACATGCAAGAATAAATACATAACTACACTACTGTGAAATTATTTGTGAGGTTTAACTTTAACTCCCCTCAACACCACTATAGTTAGAAACCACTAACCACTTACATGCAAATGGGTCAGCGCGAGGTAGTGATAGCGATATAAATGGAAGTCAACTAAGTGACTCCAGCCATTTTACATCAGACTTTAGTCATTACAACACGTATTTTACAATATAAACATGCAGGAATAAACACTACACTAATTACATTAAGGTGATTATTCATAATAATAATGGCTCAACATAATTTTTCTTAAATTGTCAAAATAATTGATTATGTACTAAGAGAAATCATTTTTTAAAATAAAATTTGGGAGTCACCAATGTCGTTTACGAGTTAAATTACTTGAAAGCCAAAATATCCGCCATCTTGAAACGTCACTGTTGCCATAGCAACTGCAGTTGCGTAACGTTTGTGCAAAAATTCTAACTCTTTAGATATTGTTCTACAGTATATAAGTAAGGTACTTTTTGTTTATCAACAAGTAATAATTGTCCAAAAATAAGCATCTAAATTGTGAATGTTTCATTCTCTTAAAAACTGTATTGAGCCACCTTATTAAACTGCATTTAGAAAATGTTCGTCTTCATGAATAAACAAGCCATGCCAGTTTATGTACAGACCTCTTTCCTTGTTTCCATTGTTGAACTACCTGTATACAGGGTGTGCAAAAGAAACGAGACCTAATAGAAATCAAGCTGTTGTTGGAATTTGAATGGATAGCACTATTCTCAATTCACGGGGCGTAAAACAGAATAGAAATGAAATTTATGCATGACGAAGTTATTTAAAACTCTAATTTGATTTCGTCGAAAACATGAATCAGAACGTAAAACAGCAAAAGCTCGTTGCTTTGTGATCAGTTGAACCATTTTTATCAGTTCGCAGTGGCGGAAATCTTGGGGGCGGGCGGGGGCGTCTGCCCACCCACCTTCCGCAAAATTGACGAATTTTCGGAAATTTTGATCGAAAAGAGGGTTAAAAACAGTCTTTTCGAGTGCAAATGGGGGGTATGTCGGAAATTTGAAAGTTTTGTCGGAAATTTGGGAGGCTTTGCCCCTCCCCCCCCCCGGAAAAAGTGAATTTCCGCCACTGTCAGTTCGAACTGATATTATAAATAATTAGGAATACTAATAGTAAGAGTCATAAAAGCCTCGGCTCGAGTTTGTATATCAGATACAGATCGGCTGCTCATGTTTTATCTAGTACTTATGACCTTTCCACAGACGTTGAGAACATTTCTGAATTTTTATTTATTTAGCCAAACAGAGTGTTGATGTCTCTTCTGGAGGTATTAAGCATCGAACTAAATTGTGTTTTAATTAACTTAACACATTTTAAAATTGTAAAAAATATAAATGCATGCAAAAAGTTGAATGAAGTAATAAAACTTCAATTTAAAAATTAACCATAGTGTTTTTAGGGTGTGAAACATTTCTCACACTCCAGAATCCATCACATCATTTCACATTACCATATCCATGGTAAGGAAATAAAAATTAGTCTGGAAATTGGACTATTTTCAACTGTGATCGGTACTATTACCAGTGCTTGAGATATTTGCTTTGCAATTTTAGTCGTACGACTTGTTGGTGGTTCTCGCAATGCTGGACGGGTAGAGGTTTACTATCTGGGTCAGTGGGGAACAGTCTGTGATGACAGTTGGGACATAAACGACGCTCGTGTTGTCTGCAGACAGCTTGGTTTTCAACATGCTCAAAATGCCTACCAAGGTCGGCATTTTCCCGATGGAACTGGACGAATTTGGCTTGACAATGTTCAATGTGGAGGTCACGAGTCATCGCTATTTTCATGTAGACATTCGGGGTGGGGAAATCACAACTGTGGTCACGGCGAAGATGCTGGTGTTCGCTGTGGAAGCACTGGAGGTGAGAATAATGATAAAGAATGACGTTAGTGAACATACAGAAGAAAGTGAGAATGCATTTAATGATATGCGTTTGCATCATATATGTATGATATGCGAGTGTTTCACCCTTGTGAATTGTATTCAATGTATGCAGCATGCATATTGTATTTTCATTATTGTTCGTCATGTGTGCATGCGTTCCAGTTTACCATGCAGGGGTATAAACGAGAGAGGGCCCAGAGGGCTAGGCGGCCCCTCTCTTGTTGGAAGCTCAGGGGGGGCTGAGTTCTCCCCTCCCTTTCCGTTCCATGTTTATCATGCTGTACCCTTCACACCTTGTATCACTGGATCAATAATGAGGGTCCTTTCTTTCATTTTTTACAGCGCATTCCTCCGTCATCAGACCTTCTGGCACTGTAAATGTACAAGGTAAATTTGATTCGTTAAATCCAAGTAATGGATTTTTATGAGGATAAGCAAATGAAAACAAGCATTTTAAAGTGACTATGCCATGAACAAGCAATCGAGTGATTGATGAGCGTGGGTCATGAATTCCGGCGATGCTCAGCAACTAGTAAGTTCTGAAGTATCCGTGTTCCCAGCCTTGCAGCCGCAATAGGAAGAAGGTTGAATTCGGGGGAAGGCATTAATAGAATATTTACTGTATATTATTGATAGACTAATGAATTATATCTTAAAATGAATAGACTGTAACGCTATAGATTGTAACCAATATTTGTAAAACTCATTAATAATTCGTGAAGAAATTAGAAAACACAAAAGAAATCATGAGCGTGAAGGAGTTTGTATATCTGATACAGAATCATGCTGATTTACATAAACTTTATGTTCAATTTTCTCACCAAATATCATTAATTTATTTTGAATTGTTGAAAAATATGAATGTTCTCATCAAGACGTTTCACAAATCATTTACAACATTCGCGTTCGTGTTGTATTGGATAGTACAAACCCTTGCCTTCGGTACAACATCCAATACAACACGGCCGCCCCTGCCCTTTGGTTACAGATTATTTTTTCTGGCAAACTCAGGAAACCAAATAACTCATTGTTTTCATTTTATTCAGCATCGCAAACTGTTTGTCCGTATTGGCAGTTCAGATGTAATAATGATGACGAATGTATAAATCGTTATGAGCTGTGTGACGGATATTGGGATTGTTCTGATGGCAGTGACGAATGGACTTTGAACTGCAGTATGTATATAGTTGTACTGAAAAGTCGTTAATAATTCATGAGGAAAATTCAAAAGATATTCAAAAGGTCACTACTACAGGAACTGCATGTGTTTCCGTTGAAATAAATTTAGGATTTTAAAAATGTTATCAAAATAGAATTGCAAATTAAATTTGGTTTTATTTTGTTTTGTTTTTGCAGGATCCTCCATAAACCCTTTCCCAACTTCAAGCGTACAAGGTGAATTAAAATATATATGCAAAACAATAATTTTATTATATAGTTCATGATTATTTATAATGATTGATAATTTGATATCTAGGTGATTACTGATCTTAGATATTATAACTATAGCTTGCTTTATTCATAATTTTTATTGTAGATAATAGATTAATATTAGTATGATTACATGGATAAACCTGTATATAATATTATGACATTTCCACAGACGTTGAAAACATTCCCGAATTTTTATTTATTTAGCTAAACAGGGTGTTGATGTTTCTTCTGGAGGTATTAAGCATGAAACTAAATTGTTTTTTAACGTTAAAATAACAAAAAATATAATGGCATGAAAAAGTTAAAGAACATAATATAAGTAGAGTATAAAACCAATTCATTTTAAAATTTAACCATTGTATTTCTAGAGTCCATCACATTATTTCATAGGCCATAGTATGGAAATAAAAATTAGTCTGGAAATTGGACGATTTTCAACTAGGATTAGTGCTATTCTATAGTAAGGATTTTGAACAGTAATATTAGTGTCTGAGATGTACTTAAAGTTTGCTTTCCAATTGTAGTCGTACGACTTGTTGGAGGATCTTACGATGCAGGAAGGGTAGAGGTTTATTATAACGGTACATGGGGAACAGTCTGTAATGATAGTTGGGACATAAACGATGCTCGTGTTGTCTGCAGACAACTTGGTTTTCAACATGCTCAAAATGCCTACCAAGGTCGGCATTTTCCCGATGGAACTGGACGGATTTGGCTTGACAATGTTCAATGTGGAGGTTATGAGTTATCCCTGTTTTCATGCAGACATTCTGGCTGGGGAAATCACAACTGTGGTCACAGCGAAGATGCTGGTGTTCGATGTGGTAGCACTGGAGGTGAGAATAAATGATAAAGAATGATTTTGTGAATATACAGAAGAAAGTGAGAATGCATTTAATGATATGTGTTTGTATCACAGGATCAATAAGGGGTGACCTTTCCTTTATTTTTAACAGGGCATTCCTCGGCCATCAGACCTTCTGGCACTGTAAATGTACAAGGTAAATCCAAGTAAACTGTATGACTATATAGATGCTAAACAAAACAAATAGCTTTGATTAACCATTCACCACGCAATTTGATTCGTTAAATCCAAGTAATAGATTTTTATGAGGCCACGAATTCAGGTGAAGTTCAGTATGCTCTAAAATATTAGTCCCCAGCCAGCATTTACTGTATATTAATGATAAACGAATAAATTACACTGTATATCCGGCTTATGATGAACAACCAGACTGTAACGCTATTGATGCTTAAAAAACAATTCAACTGTAACTACAAGTATGCATAACGATTGAAAGAATAAAAATCTTGAGAAACACCTCCTGGTTTTAGATTTATCAAAATCTTGAGTAACCACGCATTTTATGTTAATCTTATTCAGCAACACAGATTAGTTGTCCATCATGGCAATTCAGATGTAACAATGGACAATGTATCAGTTTTAGTAATCAATGCGATGGATATTGGGAATGCTCTGATGGAAGTGACGAGTGGTATTGTGGTATGTAGTTTTGTTACGATTGCAATATTACAACTTGTTGTTAAGATCAGATATGGCTATCCTGCATAAACAAAGTTACTTTAGTTTAGTTTAGTTTCTGTTTCCTTCTGCAGTAATACTGGATCAACAAAGAACAGTTTAGAACAGATAGAGCTATCCAGTATAAGTAAAGTCAGTAATTATGAAATATAAATTAAATTATTGATCTTTTCTTATAGGAAGTCAAACCAGCGCAGTAATTCAGCCTTCGGCAACTGGTAAGTTATATAATGTCAAGACTTCCAATTGGTTTCTTCAGTAGCTTGTGTGTTATTTATAATTGATGAACTTCATTCAGTTGCTAGTTGTTGTTTTCTCGTAGTCGTTCAACTGGTTGCTAGTAACCTTCATCCTGCTAATATATTGTAAGGCACTCTACTTCGTCCACTAATTTTACTAGCATAATGACCCAGGTTGGGCTGTTAGGTTCATGTCAATTTGTATTTTTCTCTGGACGAAGAATGAAATTTTCTCATATAGCTACAACCCCCAGCCAGAATTCGTCTCGCTTGTTAGGAAATCTCGTTTACTGAGATAGCTCAGCTTCAGACATGCATGTTTCCTTTTACAGAACAATCTCCGATAGTCACTGCATCAATACAGTATTGTGACAGTCACCGGCATTTCCGATGCAGAAATGGTGAATGTATTGATCGATCCTTTGTTTGTGATAGTAGACATCATTGTTATGATGGTAGTGACGAAGATAACTGTACTTCGAGAGGTTAGTTTTTAATCCTTCCTGGAGTTTATTATCCTGATTTATTTCACTTTGCGCGAAAGAAATATGGAATTTCAATAATGCATTAAAATTTGTCATTTTAGACGTACGACTTGTGGGTGGTTCTCACAATAAAGGACGGGTAGAGATTTACCATCAGGGTAGATGGGGAACAGTTTGTGATGATGATTGGGACATCAGAGATGCTCGTGTTGTCTGCAGACAGCTTGGTTTTCAAGATGCAGAGGCAGCTTACCAAGGTCGTGATGTTCCCGATGGAACTGGACAAATATGGCTTGACGATGTTTATTGTAGAGGTTATGAGTCAGCGCTATTTTCATGCAGACACCCTGGCTGGGGAACTCACAACTGTGGTCACAGTGAAGATGCTGGTGTTCGCTGTAGCGGCACTGGAGGTGAGAGTAAATTTAAAAAATAACATTAACATATTCACTACGTACTACGTGCTACGACAATTGTGGTTCTTTTCCAGGACGGAACATGACAACGCCACAGCCGACATCGCAACCAACGAATGCATCAAGGTATTGTGAGTCCTGGGAATTCCGCTGCAGAAATGGTCAATGTGTTCATCGATCAAGGTTGTGTGACGGTGGGCGTGACTGCAATGATGGAAGTGACGAAGAAAGGGTTGTCTGTGGTAATTCAACAGATTGGTTTTTAGTCCCTCGGGGTTTTGCATTTCTAATTTGTCTTTGGAATTGACGAATATTCACTCCTATGACAATCGTTGTTCTTTTTTAGGATGGAACACGACAACGCCATCGCCGACATGGCAACCGACGAATGCATCAAGGCAATGTGCGCCCTCGCAATTCCGCTGTACAAATGGTCAATGTATTGATCTATCTTGGGCGTGCGACGGTGCTTATAACTGTGCTGATAGAAGTGATGAATCTTTGTGTAATTCTGCAGGTTAGCAAGTCGGTACCATTTTACTAGTTTATTTTGTTCTGATTTCTTTCACTTTTGCGCGCGCAATCCAAAAACATCCAAAATTGATTCATTCACTCGTCTATGGTTCACACCTGTTCCAATGTCAGTTTATTCAGTTTATTTTACTAACTTTTTTAACACTCAGCCCCAGACCAAAGTCCTGCATATTAACGACGCAACTACGTGTAACAAGGAATTGTTCCCTTTAATTCCGCTGTGTGGAGTTTGTTTAATTAATATTCAATTTTAGAAGTACGACTTGTTGGTGGTTCTCACAATGAAGGACGGGTAGAGGTTTACTATAAGGGTCAATGGGGAACAGTTTGTGATGACAACTGGGACATAAACGATGCTCGCGTTGTCTGCAGACAGCTTGGTTTTCAAGATGCAGAGGCAGCTTACCAAGGTCGTAATGTTCCAGATGGAACTGGACGAATATGGCTTGACGATGTTTATTGTAGAGGTTATGAGTCAGCGCTATTTTCATGCATACATTCTGGCTGGGGAACTCACAACTGTGGTCACAGTGAAGATGCTGGTGTTCGCTGTAACGGCACTGGAGGTGAGAGTAAATTTGAAAAATTACATTAACATATTCACTCCTATGACAATCGTCGTTCTTTTCCAGGACGGAATATGACAACGCCACGGCCAACATCGCAACCAACGAATGCATCAAGGCATTGTGCGTCCTGGGAAATCCGCTGCAGAAATGGTCAATGTATTGATCGATCAAGGTTTTGTGACGGTAATTATGACTGTGGTGATGGAAGTGACGAAGACTGGGTTGTCTGTGGTAATTCAATAGATTTGTTTTTAGTTTCTCAGAGTTTTGTATTGCCAATATGTTTTTGGGATGGTCGAATATTCAGTCCTATTACAATCGTTGTTCTTTTTTAGGACGGAACACGACAACACCATCGCCGACATCGCAACCAACGAATGCATCTAGGCATTGTGAGTCCTCGCAATTCCGCTGTACAAATGGTCAATGTATTGATCGATCGTGGGCGTGCGATGGTGTTTATAACTGCGCTGATAGAAGTGACGAATCTTTGTGTAATTCTGCAGGTTAGCTAGTCGGTACCATTTTACTAGTTTATTGTTGTGATTTCTTTCACTTTTGCGCACGCAATCCAAAAACATCCAAAATTAATTCATTCACTCATCTGTCTAGATGTCTATGGTTTGCACCAGTTCCAATGTCGGTTTTATTCAGTTTATTATACGACCTTTCTAACACTCAGTCCCAGACGAAAGTCTTGAATATTAATAACGCAACTACGTGTGATAAGGAATTGTTCCTTTAATTCTGTTGTACATACACATGTGCTTACGTACTGTACAGTTTGTCCAATTAATATTCAATTTTAGAAGTACGACTTGTTGGTGGTTCTCACAATGAAGGACGTGTAGAGGTTTACTACAAGGGTCAATGGGGAACAGTTTGTGATGACAATTGGGACATAAACGATGCTCGTGTTGTCTGCAGACAGCTTGGTTTTCAAGATGCAGAGGCAGCTTATCAAGGTCGTAATGTTCCAGATGGAACTGGACGAATATGGCTTGACGATGTTTATTGTAAAGGTCATGAGTCAGCGCTATTTTCATGCAGACATTCTAACTGGGGAACTCACAACTGTGGTCACAATGAAGATGCTGGTGTTCGCTGTAACGCCACTGGAGGTGAGAATAAATTTAAAAAATAACATTAATATATTCACTCCTATGACAATCGTTGTTCTTTTCCAGGACGGAACATAACAACGCCACGACCAACATCGCAACCAACGACAGCATCAAGGCATTGCCAGTCTTGGCAATTAAGCTGTAGAAATGGTCAATGTATTCATCGATCTTGGGCGTGCGACGGTGTTTACAACTGTGCTGATAGAAGTGATGAAGACTGGGTTGTCTGTGGTAATTCAATAGATTCGTTTTTAGTCCCTCAGTGTTTTGTGTTGCCAATTTGTCTTTGGAATGGTCGAATATTCACTCCCATGACAATCGTTGTTCTTTTTCAGGATGGAACACGACAACGCCATCGCCGACATGGCAACCAACGAATGCATCAAGGCAATGTGCGCCCTCGCAATTCCGCTGTACAAATGGTCAATGTATTGATCGATCGTGGGCGTGCGATGGTGTTTATAACTGTGCTGATAGAAGTGACGAATCTTTGTGTAATTCTGCAGGTTAGCTAGTCGGTACCATTTTACTAGTTTATTGTTGTGATTTCTTTCACTTTTGCGCGCGCAACCCAAAAACATCCAAAATCAATTCATTCACTCATCTGTCTAGATGTCTATGGTTTGCACCAGTTCCAATGTCGGTTATATACAATGTCGGTTTTAACACTCAGTCCCAGACCAAAGTCCTGCATATTAACGACGCAACTACGTGTGACAAGAAATTGTTGCCTTTTATTCCGCTCTGCGGAGTTTGTTTAATTAATATTCAATTTTAGAAGTACGACTTGTTGGTGGTTCTCACAATGAAGGACGGGTAGAGGTTTACTATAAGGGTCAATGGGGAACAGTTTGTGATGACAACTGGGACATAAACGATGCTCGTGTTGTCTGCAGACAGCTTGGTTTTCAAGATGCAGAGGCTGCGTACCAAGGTCGTAATGTTCCAGATGGAACTGGACAAATATGGCTTGACGATGTTTATTGTAGAGGTTATGAGTCAGCGCTATTTTCATGCAGACATTCTGGCTGGGGAACTCACAACTGTGGTCACAATGAAGATGCTGGTGTTCGCTGTAACGCCACTGGAGGTGAGAGTAAATTTAAAAAATGACATTAACATATTCACTCCCATGACAAACGTCGTTCTTTTCCAGGACGGAACACGACAACACCACGGCCGACACAACAACCAACGACTGCATCAAGATATTGCGCGTTTTGGGAATTTCGCTGTAGAAATGGTCAATGTATTGATCGATCAAGGTTGTGCGACGGTGGTCGTGACTGCAATGATGGAAGTGACGAAGACTGGGTTGTCTGTGGTAACTCAACAGTTTCGTTTTTAGTCCCTCGGTGTTTTGTATTTCCAATTTGTCCTTGGAGTGGACGAATATATTCACTACTGATAAGAATCGTGGTTCTTCTTTAGGACGGAACATGACAACGCCACGGCCGACATCGCAACCAACGAATGCATCAAGGCAATGTGCGTCCTGGCAATTTCGCTGTGCAAATGGTCAATGTATTGATCGATCAAGGTTTTGCGACGGTGGTTATGATTGTGGAGATGGAAGTGATGAATCTTACTGTAATTCTACAGGTGAAGTTGTCGGCACTAGCTTATTGTTGTGCTTTGTGTCATTTTTGACTGCGCAATCTAAATAAATCCCAAATTATCTGCCTAGATGTCTAATGGTTCACACCCATTCTAATGTCGGTTTTTTCAGTTTATTTCACTAACTTTTTTAACACTTAGTCTCAGAGCAAAGTCCTGTATATTAATAACGCAACTACGTGTGACTAGGAAATATGTCCTTAATAAATTCTGTTGTGCATACTCTCAGCTGTAACCGGTTGCTTACTGTGTAGTTTGTTTAATTAATGTTCAATTTTAGACGTACGACTTGTGGGTGGTTCTCACAATGCAGGACGGGTGGAGGTTTATTATAACGGTACTTGGGGAACAGTCTGTGATGACAATTGGGACATAAACGATGCTCGTGTTGTCTGCAGACAACTTGGTTTCCAAGATGCCTTGGCCGCTTACCAAGGTCGTCATTTTCCCGATGGAACTGGACGAATATGGCTAGACAATGTTGAATGTGGAGGTTATGAATCAGCGTTATTTTCCTGCAGACATTCGGGATGGGGAACACACAACTGTGGTCACAGTGAAGATGCTGGTGTCCGCTGTGGAAACACTGGTAATGACAAAGAACATTAAATTTCTGAGACTACGATCAACTTCGAAATGGACAAATATTCAGTATTTTTGTGGTTCTTTTTCAGGAGGGAACATAACAACCCCACGGCCGACATGGCAACCAACGACTCCATCAAGGAATTGTGAGCCTTCGGAATTCCGCTGTAGAAATGGTCAATGTATTGATCGATCAAGGTTTTGCGACGGTAGTTATGACTGTGGTGACGGAAGTGACGAATCTTACTGTAATTCTACAGGTGAGGTTGTCGGTACTAGCTTATTATTGTGATTTGTGTCACTTTTGCCTGCGCAATCTAAATAAATCCTAACTTATCGGCCTAGATGTCTATTTTTCATACCCGTTCTAATGTCGGGTTTTTTCAGTTTATTTTACTAGCCATTTTAACACTCAGTCCCAGACCACAGCCCTGCATATTAATAACGCACAATACACTCAGTTGTAACCGGTTGCTTACTGTGTAATTTGTTTAATTAATGTTCAATTTTAGACGTACGACTTGTGGGCGGTTCTCGCAATGCAGGACGGGTGGAAGTTTATTATAACGGTACATGGGGAACAGTCTGTGATGATAGTTGGGATATAAACGATGCTCGTGTTGTCTGCAGACAACTTGGTTTTCAAGACGGTTTGGCCGCTTACCAAGGTCGTCATTTTCCCGATGGAACTGGACGAATATGGCTTGACAATGTTCAATGTGGAGGTCATGAATCAGCGCTATTTTCCTGCAGACATTCGGGATGGGGAAATCACAACTGTCGTCACAGTGAAGACGCTGGTGTTCGCTGTGGAAACACTGGTAATGACAAAGAACGTTAAAGTTCTGGGACTACGATTAATTTCGAAATGTATGGACAAATATTCATTATTTTTGTGGTTCTTTTTCAGTAGGGAACACAACAACGCCACGGCCGACATGGCAACCAACAACTCCATCAAGGAATTGTGAGCCTTCGGAATTCCGCTGTAGAAATGGTCAATGTATTGATCGATCAAGGTTTTGCGACGGTAGTTATGACTGTGGTGACGGAAGTGACGAATCTTACTGTACTTCTACAGGTGAGGTTGTCGGCACTAGCTTATTGTTGTGATTTGTGCCACTTTTGCCTGCGCAATCTTAAGAAATCCTAACTTATCTGCCTAGATGTCTATTTTTCACACCCATTCTAATGTCGGGTTTTTTTAGTTTATTTTACTAACTATTTTAACACTCAGTCCCAGACCACAGTCCTGTATATTAATAACGCAAATACGTGTGACAAGGAAATATGTCCTTAATAAATTCTGTTGTGCATACTCTCAGTTGTAACCTGTTGCTTACTGTGTAGTTTGTTTAATTAATGTTCAATTTTAGACGTACGACTTGTGAATGGTTCTCGCAATGCGGGACGGGTAGAGGTTTATTATAACGGTACATGGGGAACAGTCTGTGATGATAGTTGGGACATAAACGATGCTCGTGTTGTCTGCAAACAACTTGGTTTTCAAGACGGTTTGGCCGCTTACCAAGGTCGTCATTTTCCCGATGGATCTGGACGAATATGGCTAGACAATGTTCAATGTGGAGGTCATGAATCAGCGCTATTTTCCTGCAGACATTCGGGATGGGGAAATCACAACTGTCGTCACAGTGAAGACGCTGGTGTTCTCTGTGGAAACACTGGTAATAACAAAGAACATTAAGATTACGATCAACTTCGAAATGGACAAATGTTCACTATTTTTGTGGTTCTTTTTCAGGAGGGAACATAACAACCCCACAGCCAACATGGCAACCAACGACTCCATCAAGGAATTGTGAGCCTTCGGAATTCCGCTGTAGAAATGGTCAATGTATTGATCGATCAAGGTTTTGCGACGGTAGTTATGACTGTGGTGACGGAAGTGACGAATCTTACTGTACTTCTACAGGTGAGGTTGTCGGCACTAGCTTATTGTTGTGATTTGTACAACTTTTGCCTGCGCAATCTTAAGAAATCCTAACTTATCTGCCTAGATGTCTATTTTTCACACCCATTCTAATGTCGGGTTTTTTCAGTTTATTTTACTAACTATTTTAACATTCAGTCCCAGACCACAGTCCTGTATATTAATAACGCAAATACGTGTGACTCCTTAATAAATTCTGTTGTGCATACTCTCAGTTGTAACCGGTTGCATACTGTGTAGTTTGTTTAATTAATGTTCAATTTTAGACGTACGACTTGTGAATGGTTCTCTCAATGCGGGACGGGTGGAGGTTTATTATAACGGTACATGGGGAACAGTCTGTGATGATAGTTGGGATATAAGCGATGCTCGTGTTGTCTGCAGACAACTTGGTTTTCAAGATGCTTCGGCCGCTTACCAAGGTCGTCAATTTCCCGATGGAAATGGTCGGATTTGGCTTGACGATGTTCAGTGTGGAGGTCATGAGTCATCCCTATTTTCATGTGGACATTCTGGGTGGGGAAATCACAACTGTCGTCACAGTGAAGACGCTGGCGTTCGCTGTGGAAACACTAGTAATCCTTAATCTTTAAGCTTTAATCTTTAAGCTTTAGTCTTTAAACTTTGATCTTTATTCTTGAATTAAAGCTCTTTACATACAGTAACCTATTCAGTGGATAAGTATTTTAATACAGTTTTCAAAGGGCCGTGTATGTACTAAGCTATGAAATACAAAACAAATAAATAAACACTATTTACAATGTATCAGTATTATTGGCATCAATTTTATACCTAATTAGCCGTTCAAACGACAAGATTGATAGTTTATTGTAATTTTCGATGATTTCACTTCAGCTCTTTGAGGAAATTTGTGAGTCTGTCTTAGGTTTGGGGAACGCCAATTTAGTTTGATTACTTCTTAGATTGTAATTGCTATTTTGGCATCCTTTAAACAGTTCTACAAGATATTGAGGTACTGCAATTGACCAGTTAATGCTTTTAATGTCATTATTATTTCTCGTCTGTTAGTTTAAATCCCGCAATTGGAAGCCAATTAAGATTATTTAGTATTTGTGTGAAACGAACATCGTACGTGTCCTTGCATGGTTATCACACGCACAGCTCTCTTTTGTATTTTATTACCTCGGGTCGGTACGACACCGAGGTCATAAATTCGGCTCCTATTTTTTTTTTTTACCATTTGTGTCGAGCCGTGCGCGTGGTCGAAGAGCCTGCGGAGGAGACGACAACTTCCGGTAACCCGAAGCTGTCCTTGCACAAAATCCGAAAATGTGATAATTTGATAAACCAGAAGATGTGATAATTTTGACATATATGTTTAGCTGGATAACTATTCTCGAGTATATGTTGATATAATGCACAATACTTCGTATGCATAGCATGGGAATACCGCGGCCAACTTTCACTTTAAATCTATTATAATTACTGACCCGAATCAAAAGTAATTATTTTCGGCTGGAAGACTACTGTACGTTGCTGCTTGTCGGGACCGTATGACAATGAACCTATCCAACGTTATACTAGACATTTGTGAGGACATGCATGTAGACATAACCATAGGCACTGTAGTGCATCGTGATAGAACATATTTCAGTTTAATTAATCGCCCTAAATTAAAACTCCACAAGCGGAGGTCAATTATTGTGTTCTAGTTTACATATTATCAGTAATGATAAGGCTAGTTCAAAGAAGGTATTAAACTGGATAAACACGGGAATAGAACTTATGGTGTGTTCTGCACATGCGTATATCTAGGATAAAATCCCACAAGCGCAAACGAAACTATTTCTCTATAAAATTGAACTGAAAGGACTCATGGTGGCCGTTTTTGGCAGCGCTTCAGGCACTGTCACCTTCCCA